CCTCGCGAGGGACACGGCGGTTGGTGGCTGGCTGGCCTTCTTCGCTTGCCTTTGTTTTGCGGCGAATTCCCGCCGAAATTCCACTGCGGTCGCCGCAGCTTATTATTACTCTTCCTCCCCCTTGTCTCTCGACTTTTTGCACTTTTTCAGATTTCTCTTCATTTCTCCTTCTTGTGCGCTCCCCAACTTGAGAGTCGGCCTCACCAAGGCGCGCCAAGGTCACTTTTAGGTTAGGGTGCCCCCTCCGCCCCCTCCGGCACCTCCCCCTCGCTTCTTCAGACAGAGCTTCGCCGCCCCTGTGCCCGCCTTCCGCCTCGTGTCCCCGACAGAACTTCCAGGCGGCAATTACATAAGACTCGACGAAAAGTGGCGCCCGTCCGTTTGCATAACAAAGGGTGCGGGACAACAGTCGAATGGGGCACACGATGTTTACACCTTGTCAGGGCCAGGTCCGTTTGTCTGGCACGTGTGTGAGAGTGAGAGAGAGAGAGAGAGAGAGAGAGAGAGAGAGAGAGAGAGAGAGAGAGAGAGAGAGAGAGAGAGAGAGAGAGAAGGAATGGAGGCATTGTTGTAGGATTGGGTGGTAGGAAACTCGAAACTGCTCCTCTCCTCGTTACGTGCGCGGCCCTGGGCGGCCCCGGGCAGCCCTGGGTGACATTTCACCCCGTGACGCGGTGGCGCGGCGAGGGGAGGGCTGGTACTCGTCGGTGGTCCGCCCAGTTGAGTAAGCAGGGCGGATGAGAGGGTGGAGGGTAGCTAGCTCGCGTGCGGGGTGGGCGTGTCGGCCGACTTGTCACCAGCCAGTGCACCGCAGCTTATGGGCATGTGGGCTGGCTTGACGTCTGACATTCGGCCTCGTCGCTCTGCCTCTGTCGCACCCTTGCAGCGTCCCGTGGCTGGCCTGTCGAAGGGTTGAAGGGTAGAGCAGGCAGTCGAAAGGCTGGGGGCGGTTGGCCGATCGGTGCGGTGGGCAGTCTGGCTGACCTGACCTGAGCCCGGGGCCCGGGGCCGCGGACTGGATTGCTGGCCAGGGGCGTGGCCCAGGGCCCAGTCCAGGACACAGCCGGCATGATGCACCCCTTCCCAGCGTACCGTGCGAGAAATCGATGCCACCCATGGCGTCATGGGGGCCTCCACCGTGACGCAACTCATGACGTCGTCAGTGACGTCACCGCCCCCTCCCGCGCCACGCTGGCGGCCGAGCGAAGCGGGGCGGCGCAGGGCGCAGCCTATCGGAAGGGGCTGGTGGGCCGCGGCGCCGCGACGCCGCGCCGCCGCCGAGTCTGCCGGAAAACGCAATTTCGACGGTTTGACTCGCTCCAGGATCCGGCCTCTCTCTCTCTCTCTCTCTCTCTCTCTCTCTCTCTCTCTCTCTCTCTCTCTCTCTCTCTCTCTCTCTCTCTCTCTCTCTCTCTCTCACTCTCTTGGGGCGCCGGGCCGGGCGCAGCGCCGTCTCTCTCCCCCTCGGCAAGGTCGCCTCCACCGCGCCTGCAGCCCCCAGGATGCTGTTGCGAGGGGTGGGGAGGGGAAGCCCCACGCTAAGAGTGACGGACTTCGGCGAGATTGGAATTCACTGGAATTCCCTCGTCCTCTCGCGCTCGGGATTCGCTCGGAGGCCAAAGCAAACAGGGTTGGCGGGGCTGGCGGAGACAGAACTTGTTGTCGTCGCTGTTGTCTTTCCAGAGCGTGACCGAACAACAAAACGACCTTCGATTGAACGACCCGCCGCCCCGGTCCACCGGTGTGTTTAGTTTCCCTCGCCGCCCCTTTCACTCCGCTCTCCGCCTTTCTCCGCGGGGGATTACTGCGAGTAATATACAGCGTAGGGGATGGAGAGTTATTGGCGGGAGAGTTGACGTCCTTGGCGAGGACGGCAGGTGGGGGCAAACAGAGTCTCGCCCTGTCTCCCTCGCGCCCCTTCGGGAGGTCCCGTGAGTGCGAGAGAGACGGGCGGCCTGGCGGCGGGGTCACTGCTTTGCGCGGGGTGCGTGGGCCTGGCGTGGGCTAGGGGTCTTGCAGCCGTTGCGCAACGAGGCCTGTTGGGCCGCGCGGGGTTTGCGCCCCGCCCGCCGCGCCCGACGCAGACGGAGATGGATGTCGAGTCGCGAGCTGCGCGAGTGAGATAAAAGATAAAAACGTCACGGTAAAACGCCCCGAACTCCCTGAAAGGATCTTGCCGGTCCATGAGGCCGCCACGCCAAGGCTAACGCTGAGCCGCGCTTCGTTTATCTCGACTCGCCAGCCGCTCTTCTTTTAATAGACCAGTGTATTGGCTGTCGATCCAGTCCATTCGGCCCGAGACTTGCTCGAGTCAAGGGCCAGTCTTTCAGAGTTTCAGTTTCCCGAGTCGTCCAACTTTTTCTCACTTTTTCGGCGTCGCGGTCTGTGGGAACGCCCAAAGTAATTGTCAAGTGTAGTTCCAGCGACGCCCACCGGGGGCGGCCAGTCAAGTCCCTCGAGCACCGCGGCGTGGCGGCGGCCAAGTTGGGCATTAGGATGAATATTACATCGACGAGTGTCCCGCGCCGCCACGGCCCTCCATCAATACCGCCCCCGCCGCCCCGCCGCCCTGCCGCCCTGCCGCCCTCTGAGGGCGCCGTGGCCCCTTTGAGCCAAGGTAGGCAGTCCCGTCGAGCGGGGCTGCACCTGGCATTGCCTACCCGGACTCCCGCAGGCGCCATGAGACGCCGCGAGACTGCCATGTGTGTTAATTGTTTTTCTTTCTGGGGAGTGCGAATACCGGGGGTATTCGTCACCACCGCGTTCACCGTTGTCGTCACAGCCCTCGTCACAGCGAACGCGCCGTGTTGGAGCCTTATCTCGCAGTGCGGTGACTCACTTGCCGAAACGAACACTGCCCTGCCAAACTGCATTGGGAAACCCTGGCCGCCGCCACACTGGTAGGTTGTGGTTCCAACGAGGTTTCTGACTTCTACGAGGAGATTTTCGTTTCTCTGAGGCCTCGTTGAAGTCAGGATGGTCCTTGGTCTTCATCAAGATGAGCGCGACCCGTGACCCGCGAGTCTCGCGGACTGTCCAATTTGGCGCAAGGGACACGCGCAGCCAGTAAGGACGCGTACAACAGCAACAACGACGACAACGACAAGTTACAAAAGCAACAAAATTAACAAAACTGAAAACGACGACAAAATGTGTTTGTCGTTTGGTGGCGGCATAGTGCAATCCACATAACTTTCCCCGAGCAGTCTCACTGCCGTCCGGGTTTTCCCTCCAGGGAATCCTTTCTTTCCCTCCTCCTTTTTGGCCGCACTTTGTTCATTGTTTGTGATTTCGCGACTTTGTCTATCGTGAATAAGCAGAGGGCGCCCGTGGAGACAACGTTATCTTTCGCCAGTTTGTTTGACTTCAACATTCCCGCCACGGCTGTGTAACGCCGTGTCACTCTTCAGCATAAATCATAACCTCTTTAGCGACATGAGCGGATTTTTTTCTGCGTCGGATCTTGGTTTTGGTGGGGGCAGAGATTGGGCGCAGTTGGGCTGGTTTTTGACCAACTTGGTCGGAAAATCATTGCGGTCAAAGGCAAAATCGTTGTGGTCAACGTCTTCCCGATACAGGGCATGAAAGAGTAGGGTCTTAAGAATACTAGGACGTCGAGGGAGGCCTTTTACGGCAACTAGATTGGACACAGTGGCCGCCCAAAGTCAGCAAAATCAGCAAATTTCCGAGATTCGACCACTTTTTGACCAACTTTGGTCCCAAAATCGTTGCGGTCAAAGGCAAAATCGTTGTGGTCAACGTCTTCCCTATACAGGGCATGAAAGAGTAGGGTCCTAAGAATACTAGGACGTCGAGGGAGGCCTTTTATGGCAACTAGATTGTACACAGTGGCCGCCCAAAGTCAGCAAAATCAGCAAATTTCCGAGATTCGACCACTTTTTGACCAACTTTGGTCCCAAAATCGTTGCGGTCAAAGGCAAAATCGTTGTGGTCAACGTCTTCCCTATACAGGGCATGAAAGAGTAGGGTCCTAAGAATACTAGGACGTCGAGGGAGGCCTTTTATGGCAACTAGATTGGACACAGTGGCCGCCCAAAGTCAGCAAAATCAGCAAATTTCCGAGATTCGACCACTTTTTGAGAGAGACAGAGAGCACTCGGAATGAAACTGCAGCGGGGAAGTCCCCGGCCGGCCCCTGTTCCGCCGGTGTGCCGAGGCCCGGACCGGGACGGCACTCCGGGGAGAGAGAGGGTTTAATCACATTGCTGCCCCTTTGTCTCCGGGGCGGCTGGGCCTTGGGCCTTTGCCTCGGCCGTTCGTTCGCTCGTTCGCGTGACAGTGGGCCGTCGTCTTGTCTTGTGTATTTTCATTACAGCGGCCCGCTGCTGTTTCAGACAACGGCCAGGTAATGAACGCATCGGTTTTCCGCGGGGGCCGTTTCGGGGGTCCTGTTCGAGACACAATGTTGGACGCGTCGGCGGGAAGGGTACCGCCGTGACACGCCGCGACGCCAAGGCCGCAGCTAAACGAGCCACAAGTAGGCGTCCTGTGCGAAAAGAAATTAACAGGCTTGGTGCCTCTCAAGTGGGGCTCTTTTGGGGCTAGGGGGCGTCAGCAGGCTGATCCAGGGAGTCACTCTCATCAGGCGTCCCGTATGGGTGCGAGAGAGACAGAGCGACGAAAACGACTCTTTGAGCCAGTCTGCTGGCTTTGGTTCGGACTCCAACACCATCGGCAACTTGCTGGATTTTCTGGGCGTAACCACGCGCCGTGCGTACGCAGGGCAAGCAGGGCAAGCAGGGCACGCAGGCCGTCTCCCTCACTCCACTCCGAGGGCTTCCCCGCAGACAGACGGAGCGCGACGCCTCCCACCGGACGCGGCCCGGAGCGAGGCTAGGCGCCGAGCGCCGCCGACGGCAAGCCGACGGTCCTTCGGCTAGCTTCGGGCACGAGCCGACTGGGGCAGGGGGTGGAGGGGGGAGGAGGGAGTGCCCCGCCTAGCGGAGCGGCACGGCGCGCGGAGTGGAGCCGAGAGCCGAGCGACCGTTCGGCAGTTCGGCTCGGCTCGGCAGTCGCAGGCGAGTCCGACTTTCGTGTGGATGCCCCCGCGCCTCTTGCCGCTGCAGTCCTTGTGTTATGGTGCACGGAGCTCGGTTTAACGGTATCGCGATTTCCATGGTGATTCAGCGATTCCCACACGATTCCCAGTGGCCGACAATCGGTTACCAGGTTAGCTTCGTTCTATTTTCCACTCTCTCCTCCGGAGCTACGCGGGCCGGGAGGACGGCGGAGCAGCGCGAGTGCAAAGTTGCCAGTTTCTTGGTTAGGTTTGACGCACCCTGGGTGCCGACGGTGCCGAGTGCCGACTCGCCGAGTGCGGCGGCACGGGCGGCACAGAGGTGTGCCTGAGTGCAGTGAAGAGTGCTTCAAGTGGATCAGAGTGCCGCGGCGTGCGGAAGCGGGTGCTCTTCCTAGTGCACGCGCGTGCGTACTGCGTGCGCCAAAGTGCCTGTGAGAAAATGTGTGTCACGTCACATTCGGCGTGAACCTTCATCGCCATCGCCCCAGCGCCAAAGTGCCGTGAATTCCTTTTTATTTGTCGTCCTGCTCGAGTTTCGGTAGGCAGCCGGCGGCAGCCGTTCGAAATTCGAAACGGCCGTTCCTTAAAAATAGACGGAACGAAGCGGATCCGATGTGGCGGTGCGGCAGTGCGGCGGGGCCCGTCGTGTACCGCGCTGCCTCCTGACCGTGGAGGCCCCAGCGGCGGCCCCAGGACCCCGCCCGCCCCTGGCGTTACTACACCCACAGCGCACGGCCACGGCGCCCGACGCCCCGCGACGCCCCGCGACGCCCCGCGGAGCGTCGGGGCCGCCGCCCTCCACCCTGCTGGCGGTACGGCCTGGGGGGCGGAGGGGTGGCGGCGGCGGCGCGCGGATCGTCCTGGGAGATTTGTGCGTCTGCCGGAGCCCTGGCGGGGGCGGCGGGGGCGGAGGGGTGCAGTCCTTGGGGGTGGTGCGCCACGGCGCGGACGCTGCGTGCAGGAAGCCGCCGCCTTCGGCCCATTCGGGCGCGACCTTGCTATTTTTGGCGGTGTAGCCGCGTCGGCCGCGCAGGCTAGGACCGGGCCGCCGTGCCGCCGTGCCGCCGCCGAGGCGTGGCTGCGTGGCCTAGTGACAGCTGTGCGCGGCGCGGCCAGGCCAGGGGCACGCCCGGGTGGGGTGGGGAGCGGCGGCCAGCGGGGGGCGTCCGTAGGTCCCCTCCGGCGCCCTGCCGGGCTTGTGGCGGCTTGGGGCCGCGGCTGCGCTTCCTGTCACTTCCCCGGCGGTGCCGCCATGGGCGTTGGACGTGGCTGTCGTCCTGCCGAGGCCGGCGCAGGCCGGCGCTCGATTTGAGGTTATGTTTGTATCGATTGCGAGGCATTGCAAGGCTTGCCAAGTGACGCGGGGTTGTTGTTCCCCGGCCTGCCGGGCCTGCCTTTGGCTGCGGCACTGTTTGTGTTGCCGCTGTCACTGCGAACGGGTTCCCCCTGTCTCTGTCGCTCTCGCGGGGCGTCTTGTGGGAGTGCGAGAGAGACGGCGACTCCGAAATCGCTCGACTGGGGCGAATAAATGCGGGCCGCCGCCGCGGTTGGGGGTCGGCCCGATAGTCCGTGCGGGCGATGGCGATGTGTCGCTTCGCCGCCAGTGTGCCAGTGTCCGGACGTGTCCCCGCGACAGTGTAGCTGCCAAGCCCGCGGCACGCTAATTGGACCGCTCTCGTCACTGACAGTTGGAATGGACGTTTTAATTGTGCCTCTGTCGGCCTGATCGTCCTGGCCGCCCTGGCACCTCCCCGTCGTCGCCGCGCCGCCGGGGAAGGACCTTCGCTTCGCAGTCCGGCTCACCAAGTGGTGCAACCCGCACACCACAAACATGCTTGTGTCTTAGTACGCTAGCGTGATTGTTATTTTGGGCCTTTTTGCGGCCCGGCCTCGCGACAATTGTCACTGCGTTGTCTTGCGGGCGAACAAAAGGGGGAGGGGGCGACGCGCCGACGCCGGGTGTACAACGCGAATGACGCACGCCGCGGTGACGCGCCCTGGCCGCCCTGGCCGCCCCGGCCGTGTGGCTCGTCGTCGCAATGACACAAATCGGCGTCCCTTACGCAGTTGGAGCACGCCGCCGCCGGGGGCCGTGCAGGGCCGGAGGTCCGCTGACTGCCTGCGCGCTGCTGGCGTCGTCTTGCCGCCGTCTGCAGACTGATTCCGAGAGTCGCTCTCTGCCTCTCTCGCACCCCTACGGGCCCCACGGGACGCCCCGTGAGTGCGAAACGATCCTTCGCCTGGGGCCACAGCACATGCAAGGCCCCGACGCCGCCGGGCCGCCGGGCGTGAGGCTATCTGCATGGGTGTCGCGTTGCGTCCGAGCACGCCCCTGGACCATGACGGCGGCCCCGCGCAGGGGTGCCCCCCCCCCCCCCTGTCAAGTCTGGACACGTTGCCGCGACAGGCGATTGCACTTATCGTCGGCTTTTCGGAGCCCTGCCAAGCCCTGCAGCGGCAGTCGTGCCCCTCTCGCACTCATGGGGCGTCGCGTATGGGTGCGAGAGAGACAGCCGACGAAAACGACTCTCAGTGTACCGCCCCACCCTGCGGCCCTTCCGGCTTCCTGACCTTATCACCCCTCCCCTTCCCTTGTCCCTTTTGGCAGAGAATCTCTCAGCCCTTCGCCCTTTGGTCTCGTCGGGCCGCCGGGTCCACTTTGGAAAGGGCGGCGCGCTGTCCGGCCGTCAAGTTTTATCTCGAGGCGCTAAAGGGCTGCAGCGAGGGCTAAAGGGCCTGGAGATGCTTCGCACAGCCGTCGTCGCCCTGCCTCTCTCGCACTCACGGGTGCTCCGCGGAGGTGCGAGAGGGACGGAGGGGGCGTCCATGTGGCAACGTCGCCGCCAAGCCCCCAGGGCCTCCAGGGCCTTGGCCTAGCCGAGGCTAGCCTAGGGCACTGGAGGCAAGACTGGAGGCTGCTTTCCCATTGGCCGCGTCTGGAGGCGCGTCTAGCCAGTGCAGCAGCCGGGCCGCGCCGCCCCGTCGACCCACTCCCCGCACCGGTAGTATCTGGCACCGGTCCCGGCCGCCGAGTCCTTGGAGTCCTCGGGCGAAGGGCCTCGGTGTGTGACATCACGAACTTGCATTACTTGTTGAGCCGGGCGAAGGGACGGGGCCGTTCGGTGCGTTTGCCTTTCGGATAAGGCGCTGGAGCTTGGTAGGCCGGCTCGGCCAGGCTGAGGTCGTGGAGGAGCTGCAGCCACGTCGGGAGGAGGCAGGTGTGTCTGGGTACCGCTGCCGCCTGCTGCCGAGGGTTCCAGAGGGTTCCAGAGGGTTCGTCGGGAGCTCGGCCGGCCTGCCCCGCCTGCCGCCCCGCCGGTCGCCCCAGCTGATCGTTGCAGTTTGAATGGCGAGTGCAGCACAAAGGCGACTAGGGTCCGTCGCCGAGCGACGTCCTCGTCTCGCCCTAGGGTGCACGAACGCTGCTCATGTGTGGCAGTGTGGCGGCGGTGGTGGCGGACTTCGCCGCCTACCTGCCGCCGGCTGCCGCCAGCCAGGCGCAGCATCGCCGTCCGGGCCAGCCGGCCGAGGAGACGTCTGGCGGGGAAGGGGAGGGGGAAGGGGAAGGGTTAGGCAGGGGTCATAGACCGACCCGTCTGGCGGCTGCCCGGCGGCGTGCCCTGGCGGCGTGCGCTGTGCGCTTGCGAGTGTCCCTTTCCGACGGTGCATCGCGTTGCTACGCGTTGCCGAGGCCCTTCTTGGAAGTCCGGCGCCGGGGTCGTGGGCAAAGAGGCCGTAGAGGCGGTCCTGGCGGCCTGTCTGGCGGACTGGCTGCCCGGACGAGTCCACTGCATTGAGAAAGCCTTCGGCGCGACTTCGAACGCGGCAAGCCCGGACGCGGCGCGCCGCCGACGCCGCCGGTCGCGGTGGACTTTCTCCGCGGGACACTTTCGCGCTGGCGTCCCCGCACGTCCCCGCCAGCACCGGTAGTTCTGTCTCGCTTGCGCTCTTGCGGCGTCGCGTGGGTGTGCGAGAGAGACGGCTCGACGAGGACACTGTTCGGAATCGCTCGGCTGTACTGGTGCACTGTGCGCCGGCCGGCGTGGCCGCGGGGCTGTCGGCACACTGCGGGAGTGCGAGGGAGACGGAGTGCCGGCGTCGCGTTGCTGACGTTTCTAGGAGTCTGCGAGGAGAGGGCGATAAACTTGGGGCCGGGCAGGGACAGGCTGGGCCGCGGTTCTATTTTCGCACCGCGCCTGCTCTAGCAAGGCCACCGGCCGCCACCGGCCTGCAGGCTCATTCCGAACAGTGCTCTCTGTCTCTCTCGCACCCATTCGAGGACCTACGGTAGGCCGCACGAGTGCGACGGAGAGAGGGCACCTTCCGCTCGCATGCCGCTGAGCTGCGCGGGGGTCAGGCTTGGTGACCTGTGGCGCTGCTGGGGCTTCAAAGACCGGCGGGCCGCTGGGCCGGCTGCCTGGACAGGTGGACAGTGTCCTGGCCCTGTGCCCCCTCAGGCTGCCCGGATGCACCCCCACCCCCTTCTTCCTGAGGGAGGAAGTGCAGCGGTGCGGCCACATCGATCCGGGCCGGGGGCGGCTGGGGGCGGCCGGGGGCGGCGGTCCGCCCCCTTCGGCCCGGCGGCCTGGTGGCCTGGCGGCCAGGCGGGCTGTGGGTCGCGGTGCAGGAGACTGCCCCAGTTCGCCTCCAGCGCCGTGCCGCTCCCAGCAGCCCTGCCCGGTGGAGGGGCGGATCCAGGTTGGGGGTGGCGGTGTACCGAAAGTTGCCTACTCACTGGGGTGATGTGGGACTTTTTGCCTACTTCCCCCTGCCTTCCCGTGGACCCAGCCTGGCCAAAGGGTTGCGTGAAGCTGGGGGAGTGATTCGGTCGGAAACGTCAATAGTCACTGACCCCTGCTGCACCTGTTTACGCAGCGCACGGCGTGCCAAGGCGTGCCAAGGCGTGGCCGGCGCCGAGGCACGTTCCCCACACTGTACGACGGGCACGTCTCCGTGTTTGCCTCGCATTCCCGCCGGGCGCGCGTCGCCGTCGTCTGAACGTGGCGCATATCTCATGGCGCAGCTCGACTTCGCCCGAGGGGTAGTTTGGCCGCGCCTTTCGCGAAGACAGCGCGGGGAACCGACTCCTCGGACCGAGTCTGCTGATGGCTGCGTGGCGGCGCGTGGCGGCGCGTGGCGGCTTGGTCAG